TCTGTCTGCGCTGATGCCTGATGGCAGGTCTATGGCAAAAGCCTCACGAGATGTGGGATCCACCACCAGAATCTTTTCAGCATAACAAGGCACTGCCACCACTCGGCCATTCACTGAGCAACTGGAGTGAAATTTCCGTTCTCTGGCTGCCCTGATGCCTGATGGCAGGTATATGGTGGAAGCCTGCCCACAAGCGCTTTGCCCCATGGCTCCTGGAGGTCTAGAAGCCGTAGCCTTGTTTCATGCCCACTGGGTTCATCATGCCAGTTGATAGATGATGATAATGGAAGGTAGAGTAATTATTGGAGATCACCATTCGGGCGATAATGACATTCCTCCGAGCCATCAGCCATCGTTATTTGGGACATGGTGAGCAGCACATCTAACAAACACCCTCAACTCAACAAGTGGGTCATTTGGTCTTGTGTGTGTTGGGTAGACCCCATGATTGTCGGTCAATTCGATCCTCTGCAAGGTGACTTTGGAATGCATCCCAATCCCAACCATCATGTAGGTCATCACAATCCTGCCGGATCCATAATTATCAATAGATTGTTACCGGTTGCTATGAGTTTGTATCGTCGCCAACATCCATGTTAGGACAGGTTGATAACAACCTTCAACATCCATATATTCACGTCAAGGTCCATCCAAGGAATCCACACAAGGGCAATCAATGACAATATGTCAAAAAAGGGACTGGACATTTTGAGACAACGCAGTGTAAACAAACAACATCCACCTCCGGGGTGACCATCTGAAAAAGCAAGTTGATAGTAACCAGAATTAGCAACTCCGCAATCCTATCTGCTCGAGGACGGCTCTTCTTTAAGCTAGCAAGTAGTTGCCATCGTCGCTGCGGGGCGCCTGGTGTTTTCATTGTGTTTCACGTTCTAAACTCACGCACTGCGTTTGAATGCGTTGACATGGGGTGCGTGGGGTGGGGGTGGGGCTGGGGCTAATTAGCACACCTCTTGCGTAGCGTGCTATATACTTGGGTTTGTCCTCTTGCGGTTAGACTCCGGTCAGACACTCGTTTTGGCCACATGCATGTTTTTTCGGGCTCAGTCAAGACACGCCGCAACCTTTGTTTCTTTTTTGTTGGCGTAGTTCATTGGTTCTTTTGTTGCGGTTGGCCGTTTTGTGGACATAGACAAGGTACCCCTGGTTCTTCGACCTTGGCTTCGTGTTCACCCAGTTTGTCTGGACGACATGACTTTAGTTTGTTGGTGTAAAGTTCGTAGTGGGGATCCTTTGGTTGGTTTGACCGTCGAAATAGTTTTGGACCAGGACCGGTGGTGTTTGGATTTTCAAGGTTTGACGGACTACTCCTACTCAGAATTGTTTGTGGGTTTGTGGCTAGCAGTTTGAGAACATCACTTGGAGAGTGGTAAAGGTGTGTCACCTTTAGTTTCAGCGATGTTGTTGTATCCAAACGACTCTTGCCGGGGGGCACCATGTCGATGCTACGCGAGCGTGCCTCTGTTGAGCGTGCTTTGGAAGAGCTGCTGGAGATGCGTGTGTGGCAGTGGGTGTTTCGACGCGAGAAGATGCGTGGATCGCCTCAGGAGAACATTAAAGCACTCTCCAAAATGTGGAACACAAAGTAGTTTTGGCAAGTGGCGAAAATAGGGTGCGAACGCGTGCGCCGGGGAGCGTCTTGACTCATTTGCCGACAAGACCAGGCGCCTGGTGGCATCGTTCCCTAGTTAGTTTGCTACTAACATGTCTTCAAAAACCCGGCCAAATTTAGAGAATGACATGTCAATGTGTTTTACATGTCCATGACTTAATATATGTTGACTGGCGGTTGGAACCTCTGCCCACCCCGTGAGTTTGTGAGTGGGGTATTTCATTTCTGGGTTGAATATATGTTGAATCTTGAAAATCCTTGAAACCACCATTGGTATTCTTTTGAGTTAACATAAATACCATTGAACCATTGACCCAATGGAGTTGACCATATAACATTGGCACAATAGTCCAATGGCACAATTTAACTGACCCACTGGAGTTGTGCCATCTCCAATACAGCTCAAATCACGCTTCATCCACCTCAAACTGATGTTCTCTCGGCAAAGGCGGCATATCGCACGCAGCCCGGGCGACGTTGAGCAGCACAATGGCCTGGTCTTCGGTCCAAGTCTACGGGAAATTACACCACCGTAGACCCCAAACAGTTTGTGTTTTTCAAAATCGAAACTAGAGCTTGCAGACGTCCAGAGCTGGGAGACAAAGGATTGCAAGGCAGAGGCGGCCACAGCAGCCCAGGGCTGGGAGACAAATGTAAAGGATTGCAAGGCAGGGACGGACACAGCAGTACAGAGCGGGCGGACACATCTTAAGAAAGAATTGTGAAGCCCTAACAGTAAACCATTTGGGGTATTATTTTTCAAGTGCGAACATGATGCTGGTCATGCTGCTCAATCAGCGGGGAGCTGACCACGTGAGGACAAGAAACAAAAGCATGAGGAGCGAAGGATGTGACATGAAATTGATTTTTGGTGCCTGACGTATGCCCTCCGTCCCAACTGAACAGAGAGATCGCTGCCACGCCGCCGAAATCCAATCCGGTCATTCATCCAACGCTTGCCCGAAAAGGAAAACAAAGCGGAGAGAGTTACACAGTGTGGCAGGAATGCAATCCCGGAGACAGTCACGCACCCCTTTCAAAGGAGCAAGAACCTTTCACAGATGAACCTGTTCCAGCAGACAGGGCAGAAAACAGCAGTGCAGGCACCAAACCTGAAAGACAAAAAGAAAGAAATCACATGGGAGACAAGTGAATAGAAATGCTACATGGCCAGCGGAAAAGGGCGGCACCACCAGTGACAGACCCGGGAAACAAATGAATAGAAATGCTGCATAATGCTGCATGACCAGCGGAAAAGGGCGGACACCAGCAGTGACAGACCTGGAAAAATGAATGGAAATGTTGCATCGCCAGCGGAAAAGGGCGGACACCAACAGTGACAGACCTGGGAGACTAATGAATAGAAGTGCTGCATGGCCGACGGAAAAGGGCGGACACCAGCAGTGACAGACCTGGGAGACAAATGAATAGAAATGCTCATGGGCAACGGAAAAGGGCGGACACCAGCAGTAATGGACCTGGGAAACAAATGAATAGAAATGCTTCATGGCCAACGGACAAGGGCGGACACCACCAGTGACAGTCCTGAAAGACAACCAGCAGTGACGGACCTGGGAGACAAATGAATAGAAATGCTTCATGGCCAATAGACAAGGACACACCAGTGACAGACCTGGGAGACAAAAGAATAGAAATGCTACATGGCTAGAGGAAAAGGGCGGACACCACCAGTGACAGGCCTGGGAGACACATGAATAGAAATGCTGTATGGCCAACGGACAAGGGCGGACACCAGCAGTGACAGACCTGGGAGATGAATAGAAATGCTGCATGGCCGGCGGAAAAGGGCGGACACTGGCAGTGACAGACCTGGGAGACAAATGAATAGAAATGATACATCGCCAACGGAAAAGGGCGGACACCACCAGTGACAGACCTGGGAAACAAATGAATAGAAACAGCGACAAAGGGCGGACACCACCAGTCACAAGCCTGGGGGACAAATGAATAGAAATGCTGCATGGCCAGCGGAAAAGGGTGACAGACCTGGGAGACAAACGAATAGAAATCTTGCATCGCCAGCGGCAAAGGGCTGACACCAGCAGTGACAGACCTGGGAGACAAATGAATAGAAATGCTGCATGGCCAACGGAAAAGGGCGGACACCAGCAGTGACAGACCTGGGAAACAAATGAATAGAAATGTTGCATCGCCAGCGGAAAAGGGCGGACACCAGCAGTGACAGACCTGGGAGACAAATGAATAGAAATGTCGCATGGCCAACTGAAAAGGGCGGACACCACCAATGACAGGCCTGGGAAACAAATGAATAGAACTGTTACGTGGCCAGCGGAAAAGGGCGGACACCAGCAGTGACAGACCTGGGAGACAAATGAATAGAAATGCTGCATGGCCTGCGGAAAAGGGCGGACACCACCAGTGACAGACCTGGGAGACAAATGATGAATATAGATGTCGCATCGCCAGCGGAAAAGGGCGGACACCAGCAGTGACAGACCTGGGAGGCAAATGCATAGAAATGCTACACGACCAGCGGAAAAGGGCGGACACCACCAGTGACAGACCTGGGAGACACATGAATAGAAATGCTACATGGCCAGTGGAAATGGGCAGACACCAGCAGTGACACAAAGGGCGGACACATCTTAAGAAAGAATTGAGAACCCCTAACAGTAAACTGTTTGGGGAAAAAGTGGGAGACAATTGCAAGGAAGGAGACAAGCCGGCCGGAAACCCGACTACAAGCAACCAGCCTGGGAGACAAGTGAAAAGAAGTGGGAGACAAATAAAAGGAAATGGGAGACAAATGCAAGGAAGTGGGAGACAAGCCAGCTGGGGAGACAAATGAAAAGAAGTGGGAGACAAATGAAAGGAAGTGGGAGACAAGCCAGCCGGGAACCCGACCACAAGCACCCAGCCTGGGAGACAAATGAAAAGAACTGGGAGACAAGTGAAAAGAAGTGGGAGACAAATGAAAGGAAGTGGGAGACAAGCCGGCCGGGAACCCGCCCAGACCATCCAGCACCAAGGTGACCATTCTTTAAAGCATTGAGAACCCCTAACCGTAAACTGTTTGGGGAAAAAGCGCTGGAGATCTGCAGTGGAAATTGTCTCTTTCTTGGTCTGAGCGACTTAAAAATTCTGGTCCATGGCGCGATGGCCTGTTGCTCGTTTCAGGTCCTTTACCTTGATTGAAGGAAACTGTCTTTTTCCCAGTGGTTTGGTCCTTTTTGGAACCAGTGGTTACATCTGGTTACCAGCGATACTCCGCCAGTTCTCGTGAGATGTCCTTAATTCCCACGCTTGATCTTTTCAATGGATCCGTTTTGGGAGGAGGTCTCCCAGCCATCGAAGATCGAAGCACTGAGATCCGGACCTCCCATTTGCAGGAGGCGGGGAAATAGATGCGCTTGTACCTGGTACGCATCATGCAATGCAAAATCTAAACGACAGAACCAAAGGCAACACGGCATTTCACCCACGCCCAAGAAGAACCATCTTCTTAAATGAAAACAACCGTGCTTTTGATTCCATCGTCAGACCACACCAAAACAAACAAAATGTGTCTTTTCAATTCTATTTATGTCTTTTCTTATGTGAAAACGACTTCGCAAGGTCGTCCAAACGTTTCGCTCGACTTTCAGACCGAGCCGAGGGTGTGGTTTTCTTCGGTCACGTATCCAGCTTCAGGAACTTCCGCAAGAGCTTACACCGAGTCTCAGGAAGACTCGTCCGACTCGTCACGTCACGACGTGAAAGGCGTGAAAGGCGTGAAGGAGACTCCACGCGAGAGCAGGTGAGAGGATCGACACCTCTCGCAGGAAAAAAGACGAGCTAATGACCACGTGGTGGGGATATATATGTGTGGAATGGTTGGAGCCTCCAAAAGGGCCACATCCATTCCGTGGTCTTCTCTTTTTTTGGGTGTGGGAAGATGAGTTGGACATCTTGGCAACATACATCGATTCGACGAACGTCTGGTAGAGACATGCGAACAAGGAAGACACCTGGGGCTTCCAGCCAGGTAGCCCCTCACGTGCCGCGCAATGATGGTGGCTGCCTGGACTCAGCTGATGAAAGCCACTTGTTGAGGTTTCAACGACCAAAACGGTGTCGAGGACCTATCACCGCCCTGAAGAAAAGTGCCGGGGGAAGTTGACATGTTGAGATGTTCGATTTTCCCATCCACTCTTCTCTTGACAACCACCAGCGATGTTTTCCGTGCACGCTACGAGTGGATTCATGAATGGGGGGTCCTGCAAAGGGAATCAATAAATTGATCCTGGAAATGGTCTTGTGCCCTTTGACCGGAAAGAGATCATCAGGAAGCCACTGATGGATTCGTCCTGATGTACATGTGGGTTCTATCTTTTCTGGGAGATCCACGGAGTCCTGGGGCACTGACACTGAGCCCCAATCAAGAACTCCCCCCAACAAGATCCTCGAAGGATCGGTGAAGGACATCCTCTTTATGAATCAACAGCCCACCATTGCCACCATCCCAACTCAACCACCAAGCCGAGCCCCCCTAAGTGGCCACGATTGAAAACCAGGCAGTCATCCAACAAAATGAGATAGAAAGGTCGTGTAGACTCTTGATGAACAGAAAGGACCCTAATATATTAATGATATAAGAGTTCTTCAATCCAAAAAGAGGTTTTTTGATTTGTCAAGAACACGCCATCGCCAACCGCCTCGGTCCTCCAGCCCAACGAGCCGCCCGGGGACGCAGCGCGCCAACCGCCTCGCGCACCGTTTGCCGCTTCTTCCGACGGCGAATCCAGCGCCGCACCGAGAGCCTTGCAGCGTTCGGAGCGTTACCGAACGGTCGCTTGTGGTTGGAAGCACTTGGAACAAGTGAGGCAAAAGGAGGAAGATCTCTCCATTCCCTCTATGTTTACATGTTTACATGATTTGTGAGGTTCCAAGGCCCAAGCTCGATGAGCTTCGAAGCTCTCAAGGTCAGCATCTCCTGCGCATGGTACGACGCGGAGCAGCCAGCAATCCACACCATGATGATGTCCGTGAAAGCAGTGTAGAAAAAGGAAAGAAAATTCAACAAAAACTACAGAGAAATGGTCAGGAATGAACGTCGACATGGTCATGGAGTCATGGTGGCCTCAATATTCCTCAATTGTCTTCTACTCAACGCTTCATCTTCCCTGGGGATGACCGACCCTCTTGCGTGGTTCCGAGGTCCTGTGCACTGAGAAGCAGATCGAGCCCCTCTTCTTCGGCCAGGAAGTTCTCCACGTACCTTAAAGAACCCACAAACGGCTTTTCTGTTCAAGTCCTCTTCCATCTCTTAGCGGAAACCATGGAATAAATATATGATGGGCTAGTAGAACACAACGGCTTTAGCTTCTTCAAATTCTTCAACTCCCTCGGAAGGACCGCTCCGCACAAGCCCATAGAAAACACACTGGAAATAACTGGAACACCTCAAGGGCGAAGCCACCACGCCACACTCCGACGCCGGCGTGGGCGATCTGAGGCCGGCTCGTCTGCATGGCGCGCTTCCAGAGGAACTTCCGCGCACACTTCTGAAGCCTTCACAAAAAGCGTCAAGGAGGCGTTGAGAAAACGAGTCCCCTGGCACCAAGGAGCCCCATCCAAGCAGGTTGGTTCGCTTGATTCAAATCCAGGACCCCCAAGTCTGAATCATCACACATCTTTGATTGTGAAAAATATGCTCAAAACGATCCAAAAGGATTCCAAATCGCCTGATGGCACTGAGTCGTTGGGTCTCGCTGAGGCTGAACTTGGCGAACGCACAGACTGCTGAGCGGTCAATGCAAGTTCACAAAGCTTTCAAATGGCAAAACCAAGGCCTGGATAGGTATGTATGTTTTCGATGCTCAGCTCAGCTGGCTGAGAGCTGCAAATGAAACGACGGGAAACTCAGCTGGGCCCCTCACTTTCAAGGAGCGTGCCTTGTAGACCTCTGAACACTTACCACTGAAGAACGGAGCGACGCTGGGAAATGCTGGGTCCATATTGATTGCAACATCCATGTGTCCAAGGCATGATACTTGGAAACCAACTGGGCACAGGTGATACACATCCCTGAACTGAACATGTCCAAAGACCCAACATCTCGCTGCAGCACTTCGCCGGCGCCGCCGTCTCAAGCTCGAGTGGCCGGCCCATCTCGGCCGAGGCCCCGAGCGCGCCAGCCGCCCTGGATGGCAAAGGCAGCACCTGGGAGGGTGGTCACGGAGGTGTCTTGAACTTCGAAGGACACCTGTCACTTGGAAGTGGCAAGTGAGTAAACCTCAGAAGGAGAGGGATCCCTCAAGAAGTCACCAGTATCAAGTGAGTATACCAGTATAATACCAGTATACCTCCAAAGGAGAGTATTCTACAATTGGCGGACCCCAAGTTGGGGTCTAGCCCAGTAAAATCATGTAAAATCCAACAAGGCTTCTTAGCAACTGCTTCGACAAACACATCATCTTCACTTCTTCACCTGTGAGCTCATCCGTCTGAGAGCTCATCTGAGCTCCCCAACTGCAGTAGGCTGACTTTTGGTAGAGCTGCTTCAGCCTTTGCGTGAGGCACGCAGACCCACACCTTTTTGCGACGCGTAGTCGTACAAAACGAGTTGAAGACCTCACCACAGACAGCATGCATGGCCATATATTGCCTACATTAGGGTGGTTCATGGGTAGTTCACGGGGTGCAATGCAGGCCATATTCCAGTTTCCTGGAGTGTCTGCTCTGTTGTCAGTGCGTGTATGTGCTGGGCCGGCGCACTCATCTGCAGCCTGGTGGGTGCGCTGCGCCGCTTGCTTCGGCTCGGCTCAGCACTGTTGAGGGCACATGGAGATGGAAGAGACACGTGAGACCGTGGGACCACCTGGAAATCCTGGAAATGCCCGGAGTTCAAGTCAAGTCATACCTATCGGATCCGATCAATCCGATCATCGGACCTTTTCCAAGGCTTCCCACTCATGTGCCTCCAATGAACCGCTGGTAAGCAGGCCAAAACCAATCTCTTTTGGTACTTTCACGCTCGACCGCGAACCGTTCATGTGCAGGTCAAGACATCCAAAGTGGGGGGGAATTCCTGTGATCCAAATCATTCCGCAGAAATGCGAACGATCTTTACAAAGGGGCTGCTGCCAAAAGTCGAAAAGAAGCCGAAAAATAGTCATAGACCGAAGGCCACTCCAGTCCAAGAAGTGCCCCAACAACCAACAAACCCATGAAACCCGACGATCACGTCATGCGCCACCAACCGGTCATGTCGGGTTCAGACACGGTGCGGATGGGATCGCCCAACTCTCGCCCAAGTCCCCGAACACCGAGGTCTGCGAGGAGGTACCGTCGTGTTCGTTTTGGGGCTCCCCGAAGATCTCGATCTCCCAAAGCCATCCTCCCGATCCAAACCCTCTACCAGCACCCGAGCTCGACAGGTCACCAATGGTTCGACCTCCAACAGGGCCTTGCCCAACCCTCCATTTCGGAGACCTGTTGCAAGGGTGCTGGTATATATACGTCTCCGAACTGCTCCGATCTACTATTCTACAAACGGCCTCCGGGGAGGGGGGATTCGGCCAGTGAGAATGGTGAGAAGTCCTTTTTTTCGAGTCCCACCACTCGCAGCAGATCCACCGGGAAGTGGCTGGGTCATAAAGGCTTGGCAAAAAAAAAAAACATATGTTTGCACCAATTGCCAAATCGATAAGGCAACAAAAATAACCCCTCACTTCTATACAACCTAAGACTCTGAAGACATCTTAAGACTCTCTTCCAGCGCACCCATCATCACCCATCGACTTCCGCATCCGTCCCACCTTTCGTCACCGAAAACCCTTCCTCGGATGGGCTCTGCCGACGGATTCTTCCGCTCGCGCGCCGCTCGCGCCTCGCGCAAGAGCTCCTGCGCCAGCAGCCGGTGCTCGGGAGGCTTCTCGCGGAAGAGGATGGCGCTGGCCTGGCGGGTTCGGGGCTCAGAGGCGCGCGCGGACCGCCAGTTCGCGGAGGCACGGACCGAACCAAGCGGGCGTTTCAGACAGACAAACAGGCAGGAAGTTGGGACACCATGAGTGACGCCATGAACCCAGGGAGTGATGGTGAAGATGGTGAATGCCAACTGGCCATGATGCAGTAAAGTAAGGGATCTCATGCTGGTATTCTCAGCCTTGTCCGATGGCCCAATCGATTCTAATCATGATCATTCATAATCAATGTATTCACTGCAGAGACACCAGGTCAATGGATGTCAATGGCACTCCCAGGTCTGACTTTGACTCTGAGAAAAAAGGCCCCCGGCGGCTGCTACAAATGAAGGAAAGGGCTTTCTGGCAACACAGAAATACATGAAATGCCTGAACTTGGATCACCTAAGTGACCGACCGCTTTTAAAAATGGTCGATTGGACTCCGAAAACGGTGCTGTTTCGAACGCCGAAACAACGACCTGACGCCGAAGCAGCGAAAAATTCGGTCGTCGCCGGCCGACGCGCCGCTCTCCTCGCTGTTGGCCGCGAAGCGCCGGAAGCTGCCGGCCGCGCCTGCTGGCCTGAAAGAAAACATCAAGAACCAGCGACTCCCAGCCAGACTCAATACTTTGGTAATAAGTGACAAAAGAAAGGTCGCACTGCTTTGCTCTCACGAATCACTTGAGCCACTAGGTCGGTCACACATGCCAACTGCACACGCTGTCCAATGCAGGCGGGCCATGTCTAGATTACTCATGACCTGACACCCCGCCTCAAGATTTGTAAGTCTTGTCTTTTCTCCAGGAGCCTTTCTCGACAAAAGCTGGTCTTTACAGAAACCTAGAGCTCATCATCGCTCACAAAATGATGTAAATTCATCCAATATTCCGGGTCGAAGTCAAGGCTTGAATTCTGGTACCGCCTATACCTGGTAGAAGGACTTTCATCTTCTACTTCAACTTCTACCATTCCACTGTCATCAGACAGCGCGGTGCCACCTGCTCCTGCCACCTCAGCTGCTGCCATTGATCTCAGTCTCTCTGAACCATAGGCATCTAGTTTGCATCCACTCTATGCGCTTCTTTGATGTCTTCTTCTGTTCTGGTAATGAATCTCATCATCTCTCTTGAATCTCCTTCAATGTCAGGCGCTAATGATGAAGATCTTGCCGCTAACTCCTCATATTCAGGAAGTGTAACATGGGCCTGACCATGGTTCTCGTTGCATTGAGTTCACTAATTGCATCATCCTGTAGCGCATTATTCTCATCTTCCGGTAGTAATCCTTCTCGTCTTCCGCAATCCCTACACCATCACGTTGGTATTGATCTTCTTTCTGTTCAACCCTTCTCATGATTTGAGAAACTTGCCTACATGACGTCACCAAAATATGTTCTGGTCCACGAGCTTCTCCAAGAAGTCGCCACCTGTATGAATTGAAATCTGAGGTTTTGATGGGAACTTTTGCAGAATTGGGAACAAAGATATTGTGAGGAAATGCATCCTCATCATGTTGTTATTGTGAACCTTGACTAGGCTCAGGTTCTCGGTCATCACCAGGATCTCGACTACCTCTTGCTCGTTCTCCACTTGATCTGTCTTCACGAGGTCCAGATCTCCTCAACTTCCCACGGGATCTCCCTCTCATAGTTGGTATTGCGCAATCTGAATCTTCTTCTTTTGGCTGTTCAAGATGTGTGACACTGTTGGACTTGCATTCCCACTTGTGTCAAGCTTTCGGTTTTGATGCAAATGAGCCACCCCTAATGCGGCGCGACCCTTTCAAGATCAAGCGGAGTAGCTTGCTTGCGCAGCTTACTGCCCCTGTACAGACAGTTGGGCCAATAGCAGGCATTACAACGGAACAGGCCTTGCCTCCGCTTGTGCGTATTTACAAAAAACGCACCTTTACGGCGGCACGTATTGAAAGACAGGAAGCACTAGAGCAACGTTTATCCAAGAAAGCGCGTACAGGTGAAACTAAGAGAAGACGTCTGCTGTAGCCTTCGAGCAGACTGTCAGTTAGTCATGGAAGAGCGACACCTACAGACCGGTTTCAGGATGTTTGGTAGCAGGGTAATACTCCTCCCTAGGGCAAAAGTCTCCGCTCATGACCCTTTCTTTGCGTGCAGGTCACATCCGCTGCACCGGCTCAAGCTGTAGCAGAAGAGCGCGTGGCCTGAGGGCCCTTGCCCGAGCACTCCTCGAGCAACCTTTGGTTTCGCAACACCTTTGGCGTAGCCGACAGGGGCTTGGACCTTAGTCCTGGTCCCCCGGTTGTCCTGCAATGCAGTCGAGCAGAGTGGCCTCTGTGGCGGTGGGGCCGGGTGGGTTAAACCTCACCCCCTATGCACGCACAATCTGTCGAAGAGCAGATTGTGAAGTGCATTATGTCCAGCTTATGATTGGGGTTGAGCAAATCCAGGCGCCGTTGCGACTGGCGGCAGCAGTGTTTCTACGCACTCCCTGGGATGATGGTACTAGTCCACGCATTTCGGAAATGGTTCTCGTGGCTGTACCTCTTGCCATCCAACGCTGGCATTTGATTCTCGCAAACGGGCAAGCGCTGTACCCCTTTACAGATGCCCCGCATATCGGGAGTGACGGCGTAATCCTGCATGGACAAAGTGCCCGACAAAGAGCGCTGGTACACAACATCCTCAGTCATTTCCAGCGCTGGCGCGTAATGGATGTTCTCTATGATCTTGCATAGTCCTCTCGGGACATTCCAGCTTGTTGGTATTCACTTTCTTGTTCTGATGTTGAGGTACCACCTTCAATTCTCTCTCTCTCTCAACATCAGCTTCTGTTGCTGCAAGTCGATCCATTTCGATCAATTTGCCCAATGTCTGGTTGTCTCTCGCACGAAGTCCACTGAAAATGATTTTGAATTGCATCAATTCCATCTCTTGTTGAATCAACTGTCTCCACAACCGATAGGTCAGCAATGCGCCAACAATGATCACTATCACCGTCACTGTCCACGATGCTATTACAGCTGACTGATTATCTGTCATTGCACATCCCTTCAATTCATAGCTGTCATCAACTGCATCAATCGAACCATTTTCTTGCCTAAGTGCAGGGGTAGTCCATTGTCCTGGAAGGATGTTGAATCAAAGCCAATTTTCTTGCAAAGATATTCACGTCGTTCACGAGACAACGGTCTGGTGAACCAGTTTCTGCGTTTGCCCATTTGTCCCCACAGCACACACGTAGCCAAATGCTTTGCGCGTCCTGGGCCAAGTCGCTCATAGAAAGCTTGCGCGCTTGTGGAATCAAGGCGCAACTTCACGTGCACCTTTGAATTGCACTCAAGGCCACCGTCCTTCACTAGGAACTGGATGAACTGCTTGATCTGAATTCCTTCTGAAAGTAGGCCTGGTGGAGAAGAAAATGGAATACTACATTAAATTACCTCAAGAGACAGACAGATTGAGTTCACAGACGATGGACTCTATATTATGCCCAGCGGGAAGTACATTCCCCATCTTCTCATCTCGAAGACAGGCGGGGGAAAGCGACTCCATCGCATCATAGCTTGGAAGTCTATGACAAGTGGAACACAATGGACGAGGAGTGTTTGAACGACAAGGACGCTATGACTTTTCGAAGCGGACTCAGAGTTTGCGTCTACATCTATTGCACTCTCAGCATTGAAGAAGTTGGCACTATATAGTGACAAAGGACATGATGCGCTATCCAAAGGCAGGATTGAGGAGCTCGGTTTTTGGTCGATGGCGTCAGTTCAAGCCGTATGAGAAGAACTGTTCAGCGACAGTGATTGGGCATCGTGCAAAGTACCTCGAAAGTCAACGTCGCGTGGACTGATTTTCCTTTGCGGTTGTTGCGTCTATGGCCATTGTAGAGCACAGACATCAGTGTCTTTGTCAAGTGTGGAGGCGGAGATCTTGGCAAGTGCAAGAGGTCCTTCAACTTTGAGGGTTAAGTTCTTGCTCTTCATGTGGTCACAGAACTCTTGAATGTCTTCTTTCCAACCAATCAACAACACATCGTCCACATGCACGCTCAAGCAGCTCTCCTTGTCCTTGCGTCTATAAGCCGTTCCACCTGAAAAGCTCTCATAGCCAATCTCACTGCATAAGTTTCCGAAGAACTCGCACCACCTCCAAGCTGCATTGCGTTGTCCAGGTGGGCACCTTGCCAAACACCAGTACTCAAGGTCTGGCTGCTTAAATGCGTTCTTCACCCACTCAGGCACTGCAACAATTACAAGTTCTCGCTGATCAACCATGAGGAATGCGTTGCTGATGTCAAGCACTGCTACAAAGAAAGAACTAACAGTGTTTTGATAGCAGGCAATGGTGTTGTTGGTGAAAATGTCTCATGAGTTCCTTCTGTTGTTTTGAACTCACGCGCTACCATTCTTGATCTTCGAACCCATCGGCCAGGATCATCTTGAAATCTCCAGTCTTTCACAATTCGAGTATCCAAGAACAATGCTGTAGAAGCATCCTCCTCCAGTCTCAAGTCTCGGATCACAGAAAGTTGCTTCAACCTTTCTAGCTCTTCCAACAAGGCGATCTGCAACTGTTGTGTCCGGATCAAACTTGACAAACTTTGCTGGTTCATCATCTTGCTCAATGCCACGTTTACTGGCTGCGCCTCTCTCACTCTCCACACGTGGTCGTTGAACAGGTAGTCCAGGGGGTAGAGGAACTCCATCTCGTTTCACTCCATGAAGTTGAGGTGAGGTCACATTCGATGATGCCCCGCCTCGCAAAGAACCTCCTCCAGGAATTTCTGCTTCATCATCTGAGTGCGGATGAGTTAGAGCATATTGAATCACTTCTGCTGCTTCTTCATCTCGAACTGCATGAGCTTCTTCGCTCTGCACGCTTTTCTCTCATTTCATCTTTCTTACCATCACCTCGAACATCAGGATGTAGCGTTGGGAGAGGTGTAGCAGGTTGTTCTGTTGGTTTCACCTGCTTGTGAACACTCTTTCTCAAGTCCCAGGACCCATTCGCGCATCGGGATCAGGAAATTGGCGTTCCATACTTCTGCTGCTTTTCTCGCTGCTTTACTTCTGATGATCTCATGGCTGTCTACCACCACCAGGTCGTGGTCACTAGCATCTTTTCCAAGCCAAGCACCTTTTATTGTGAACGGTACTTCTTCTGAATGGGATCAATTGCCAGAGTTTGCCTTTGTAAGGTCTTCCACGAAGGCTTTGGAAAGCTGTTACTCCAGTGGTGTTTCTGATATGAAAGCGGTTCAACTGCCATGCACTCTGAAGCAAACCCCAGCTATGTAGTACATGTTCATCAGGGATCTTGCAACTCAACTTCTCCTCCAAGGCTACAATCAATGTCTTTTGTTGATTTCTTACCGTTTGAATCATCCGCTCAGCCTAGTATTTGCCAAGTCGCAACACAGTCTCCACGCCGTTGTTTCGTCTGATGGTCTGCGCCATACGGGCTGTTGTGAAATGCCAACTCCACCTTGTCAAAATAGCCGAGCTGCCCAAGGAAGTTCGCCATCATCTCACCAAGAACACCCTGGTTCTTGTTCTTGAGTGGTTCCACTTGCACCCACTTTGTCCATGTATCCACCATCAA